CCTTCCCTTCCCTAATAATGCACTGGCTAGATTCTCCGGTAAAAAGCTGAACAGCATGGTAGGAGAAGTCTTGGTGCTCATTTCATCCTTTTTTTTTTTCAATACTGGGAACTGCATCCGGGGTCTTCATACTGGGTTACATTCTCAGCCATTTCTATTTATTTTTGAGATGAACCCTCAATAAGTTGCTAAATTGTCCATGCTGGCTCCATTTTGCAATCCTCCTGCTTCAGCCTCCCAGAATGTTAAGATTATAGGTGTGTGCCAGCTTGCCTTGGCACCTACCTTGGCTTCTGATTTTAAGAAGAAAACATTGAGTGTTTTACCAACTATGATGTGAACTGGGTGTTTTCATCAGTGCCCTTCATCAGGCTGAGGAAATGTTCTACTTGTGGTTCCATTGTGTCAGGGTATTTTTGTGTGTGTGTGCCAGTAGCTTTTTATTTTTTGTCTTTCTTTTTAGCTTTTTAAGTTTTTGGTGCTGAGGACTGAACCCAAGGCCTCCTGCTTGCTTGAGAAGCATTGCACCACCATGATAGCCATGTGTGAGGGTTTTTAAGCTGGATTATGTCAAATATTTTTTCTATGTCTGCTAAGATAATCATATGGATAGTCTTCATTTAGTTTGTTAAAATAGTCTCCATTTAGTTCGTTAAAATAATAAATTAATGTAGACTATTGCACTAATTTTGTACTTCTGAGAATAACCAGAAACGTGTGATGTTTTTATCAATTTTAGATTGCACTTTTTACATTTTGAAGAGTTTTTTCATTTATGTTCATGTCAGATATTGGTCTCTGGTGGTTTTTTTTTTTTTTTTTTTTTTTTGAGACAAGGTCTCCCTGTGCAGTTTAGACTGGTCTTGAGCTCACTTTGTAGCCCAGGCTGGTCTTGAACTCACGAACATCCTCCTGCCTCAGTCACCTGAGTGCTGGGATTACTAGGCATGCACCACCATGCCTGGCTGGTCTATGGTGTTTTTATTGCTTTGTTTTTCTCTCTTTTTTATTAAACAAGATAATTCTGGTTTCAAAGAATGAGTTCAGAATTACTCCTTAAATTTTCTGGTGTGTTTGTGTAGAATTATTATTTCTTCTTTGAATATTTAGCAGAATTAACCATTAAAATTATTTGGGCCTCCAGTTTTCCTTTTTGAGAAGATTTTAAATCCAGATTCTATTTTTTAGTAGGTCTAAGACTTTTTAGGTCATCATTTCATCTTACAAATTTGGTAATTTGTGTCTTACAAAGAATTTATCCATTTCATAGAAGTTATTGAATGTATTGGTATAAAGTTGTTCATAATACATTGTTATCACTTTGATATGTGTCCGTAGAATTTGTGCTTATGCTCTGCCTCTCATTTCTGGTACTGATAATTTGTATTTTCAGTTTTTTTTCTACATCTGGCTAGAGGTTTATTAATTTTCTTGATCTTCTCAAAGCCTCAGTCTTTTACTTTCAATCTAGTTATGTCCTTATGTTTAAACTGCACTTTTGGTAGGCAGAATACAATTTGATCTTGTTTATTTAATCCAATCTGACACCATGTGTCTTTTAATTGGCACCATTTCTTTTTACCGTGATTATTGAAGTGATTAAACAGC